GTTATGACCTGGTTTGAGAGGTGTTTTTGATGATACTATTCCATCAGATAGTGATATTTTCCACTTTGAAAATAATATAAAAATCTAGCAATTAAGTTGAAGTTAACAGGTTGCTGCATAAAAAATAATCAAAATTCTGATCAAATTAATGCAGGACACATGAGAATGTCAAACTTATGGGGGGATTCATTCAGTAAAGTTGTGGGATGTGCATAATATTTAGTCACTGCTCAGACGGTGGAGGGGGTTGGGGGGAGGTAGGCTCCTTTGAACCTTTGAACTCACAAGGCTTATAGCTGGGCAGATAAACTCTTGAGACTGCTCAGTTTTCACATTAAACAACCAGCAATAAAAGGGATAAAGTTTGGATTTTTTTTTTTGCAATTCCTGAAACCATTATTTAAGTAGGAATATTATGTATTCCATACAGGTAAAAACTGAATTTATTTGTTCATGCAGTTACCTTTCCTTAAGTATTGGTTTAATTAATCATGGATGAATGCGAGTTTTGCTCTATTGGAAACCAAAAATAGTTGGGGTTCTAAGTGTATCTAATGTATTTCAAAATCATGGACAAATGTGTATTGGTGATTAGAAGATGAGAATTTTCAAATTGGAAATATACATTAGCAGTAGATACATATTTTTAGGAAGACTCTGCTTGAAAATGTGTTTCTGATTTCCATGTAAATTTCAACGTGGTGTCTGGTTTTGAGTATTTTATGGAACGTTGTACTCTGCTAGGAGTTCTCTCTTGCTGGCAGCTTTTTCTCAACCATTGCTCTGAACCTGGGGAGACATCAGGGGGGAGGATCCTTCAATTTCTTTCTGGTTACTTGGCAGCAGAAATTCCTTACTGACCTCCAATTTGGCTTCCTGTAGCTGGGCAGCTAGGGGAATAGAGCCTGCATTTGGGAGAGGTAGAAGGTAGGGCAAGGCAAAAGTCAGGATTTTTTTGGCAATAGCTAAGTGGAAGCACATGTATTGAGGATATTCTCGTTCTAACCCCCTCCTATTCACCCCATACTTTGAGATGGCCAGACACACGACAATGGACAGATCAGATTCACAGCGGTTTGTTAGTCACATACACTCATAGTCCAGGAGGACACCACACACCACGCAGGGCCCTGCGGGTTGTACTTGGAAGCAGAGTGAACCGGCAGGGGCTGGGGGAGGCCGGCTTCGTAGAGACAGGAGGGTGAGGTGACCCTTGGTTCCCAAGGAAGGATGAGGGGAGACAGGTTAGGTTGAAGATAAGGGGGGCTGGAGCTGGTCTGTCTGATACTGGAATGACCCAGGGAGAGAGCGTTTCCTGCTGAGTAGGGGTGGGGTGGGGTCGGCGGATCTTATCTGGCAAGAGCAGAACTCATAGCTAACCTCTTCCGACTCTCTAAGGCTCACGGATGTCCAGGTACACATGGAATTTTAGTCCTGACAATACAGTTCTCACGACTGAAAGTTTAGTGGGGGAACAAGGGAGGAGCAAGTAGTACCTCAGCCAACTGCTGAGGGAGGCACTTTTTGGGCCGGGGTTAGAGCCACTGCAGGTCTCTGGACCCCTAGAAAGATGAGATCAAGTGGGCTCTACACAGGGACTAGCAGTGAGTATCAGGGTTCTAGCCATATATGATAGGTTGAGTCAAGGAGCCAAAAACCGGTAACGTTTGTCAGAGACAATAGAGTGTAGTGGCTAAGGGAGTGCACGAGTTGGCATGGCTGGTTTACATCTGGGCTCTTATCAGATCTATGGCTTCTGGAAGGTTAATTTCTTTATACTTCTGTTATCTCGTTAGTAATAGAATAGTCACTGCAGGGGTGGTTGAAATGTTAAATGAGGTAATACCTGTGAGCACTTAATAAATACCAGCTCTTATTAATGATTGGGTACATAAGTTACCCCAACCAGCTTCTGAGGGTGAGCTAACCAGTGGCCAGTCTTAGCCCAAAGCAGTAGTAGTTAGGGTTGAGGGCAACGTGGTATCATTAAGATCACCTAAATCATACCTGAGCTTCTTCATTTCTCTTTACAAGGTTTTGAGTTGACACATTTTATTTTTATTTTTTTAAAGATCATATTTATTTATTTGAGAGAGAGAGAGCATGAGGAGGGGGGAGGGACAGAGGGAGAAGTGGACTCCTCCCTGAGCAGGGAGCCTGACCCAGGGCTCGATCCCAGGACCCTGGGCAGACACTTACCATAACCAACTGAGCCACCCAGGCGCCCCAAGTTGGCACATTTTAAATGGTTACTTAGAAGCTTTGCATTTAGAAGATCCAAAGGTGTATTTTAAATAACGACCGTTTAAAGATTCTATCTAATGGTATTGGTATTTCAAAAGCAGAACACATGCCTATTAGATAAAAGGCATTCGATAAATGTTTATTGAATAACCTTTGAAAAATGAGCCATTATCACTATCAAAATGAGGAAATTTCCCCCTAGCTTCATCTGTAATATTTAGAGGTAAATTGAACAAACGATTAGTTTTAGTATAATATGAAGAGGTTGTTCTAGAATGTTCATACAAAAGGCACTTTGGTATTGCATTCTGGTTGAAGAAGGAAACTTGCTTTGTAGCTTCAGAGCATAGCCAGCACATACAGTTTGTTTGGGTGCCTGGCATAAGGATACTCCTAGGAAAACAAGCCCTTCCAAGCCGTCTACTGTGATAGTGATAGGGAATAAAAAGTAGAAACAAATATTAACTTTTTTGTAATTGGGGGGACACTTTATATGGACTAATTTCTCATTAGCCCCCACTCCATTTTTATATAACTTCCCACCTAATTGTTTTGTTGAAATAAATTGCAAAAACAGAGAGGAAAATTTGCTTACATGTCTCTACAATCCCTATTATGCCTAGCACGGTGGTTTTTTTTTTACATTTAGTATGTGTTCAATCAATATTTGTTAGTTGATTGGTTTTTACTGAACCATCAATGATTCTCAGTTGTGTTTGTGATTTTACCCTTGCAAGACAAATTGTTTTAGAAATTCCAAGTGAATGAATTGGACCAGGTGATCTCTAAGGATTCTTTTAATGCTAATACTCTATGATGATCAAATCTATCAAGGAGAAGTCTTGGTAAAGAAAAAAGAAGTTTTGGAAAAACCTGGGGATTTATTAGCCTTATACTGACACAGAAGGAATTCTGGTAGAATAAAATTCCATAGATAAAAATTATATACAATTACTAGTAAAAAAAATCTGATAAATTAATAAACCACCTTTGGTGTAACTGAATGGAGCCCAATAGGTTCTCTGGTAGGGCATGGAGTGGCCAAGAGTCCGAGGTTAATAGCACAATTTCTGTATTCTGATGTCTGGGTTTGATTCCTGGCCGCATCTTTTAACAGCTATGTTGGCCTAGGACAAGCCACTTCACCTCTCTGTGCCTGTTTCCTCATCTGTAAAACAATAATAGTAGTAAAGACTTTATAGGGTTGTTCTAAAGATTAAATGAATGAATTAGTATCCATAAAAACCACTTAGAGTGCTGTCTGTCACCTAGTTGCTATACACATCCTCCTGGTCATTCTTCTTGCTCTTCTCATAGATACACATAGCTGATTTCCAAGCAATCTCTCCATGCTTGGAGGCTAGAGAAGTTCATGGGGAAGTTCCTCCCCGCCCCCCTTGGGATACATATATAAAGCTTTGCTTGAAGTCCTTGAATTTAAAAGCAGGCTGGTTTTTTTTTTTTTTTTCAATTCTCATTTATTAAGAGAACTTCTCCAAAAAAAATCTAGTATTCATGGAATTGATGTCAAAAGGCCAGTGAGCACTATTTTCACTGAAGAAGTATCTCAGCCATCTCCCTGGAATGGTTTTAAAGCAATCTACTGCTGAAAGTGCTGTCTTTGATATCAATTGGTCATTAAAAGTCCCATGACACTTACCTAAGACTTAAAATTATTCACCTCTATCTCTTGGCAAGGGATCAAATTTGAGATTAAATTCCTTTTAAGTGGTTGAGGCATTTATAGTCCACACTGCCTGAAGCTTTCAAGCAGTTTTGTTTGACTTCAAGAGTAGTACCTTCAGGTGCCTGTAGATGAAGACACGCTTGTCACTCACAGGCTGTTGAGTCAATCATATTTAGAAAATGCACGTGACCCACTGGTTTACCGATTCTAATTTATTCTTTCTGTAAATTGAAAAACTGACAAAATTCCTTTGTCATTTTTAAATTGCTTAAAGTCTTCATTTTTCTATCTTCCTTTTTAGAAACTCCCCTGAGCACTCTTATCTTAGAAGTTCTTTGAGAAATGTTTTTTAAAAATTCCAGAGGTGATAAAGCTCAGAAGGGCCCATATAGATACAAAGTACTGAAGTAAAATATAATGCTAAAGGTTGTCAAGAGAATAAACTGGACTTTACTGTGATAATAAGAACCTGGTAAAAGTGTGAACGGAATTCTTATGATTTCTAAATTCTTTCAGAGAATCACAGTTAGTTACAGACAAATGTTCCAAGGCAGTAACATAATCCAATTTTTGAAAAGTTAACTTCTCATGGACACTCTTAAAACCTTATGAATGCTATCAAGCTTCTCAGTTGGGATCTTCCACTGTAAAGATTTTGCCCTTGGATTGTGTCCAGATCCCATTTCATGCAATTTCGATACAAATTCCCATGTACTGAAGACCTCGAATTCCAGTCGAATATTTCATCCTACTTCCAGCTGGTGTTTCTCATCCCTGATCTTCTCTGAGCCTCTTCATACACTCGCTCTTGTTTTCATCAGACCGTTGCTCTTCGGGAAGGACTGGGAGGGCGCGGCCGGGCTTTCGTTTTATGTTTCCTCGACCCAGGCAGCGCCGCTCCCAGGTCCGTCCTGCGTGGGGTCGCGTTGACAGCAGGAAGGCGGGAGCGCCCGCGGGCCGCGCGCCGGGGGCGTGGCGTGGGGGCGGAGCCTGGGCGCGGGGCGGAACGTGGAGGGGCGGGGCTTGCCCGCGGACCGCGGCGGGCGGGCGAGTGCCAGGTTGGCCGCTGCCGGCTGAGTCCGCGGCTACGGCGGCGGTGGCCAGAGCCGGATGCTCGCGGGCTCCGTGCGGCTCGAGCCGTTTTCCTCCCTGGTGCAGCGTCAACTTGCCCCCGCCGGAGAGGGACACTTCGCGGCGCTCTGCTCGAAAACTCCGGTGTCTCAGCCTCGGGGCTCCTCGGGAGAAAGCCAAGCGCCCCCAGGTGAAGCCGGTGTCCCAGAACGGCCCCGGAACGCCTGCCGCCAGCTTGCACCTTTTGGGAACCGCGACCGCCGAGCGTTGTCCAGCGCCTGCAACGCAGGGCGCGCGGGGAGAGTGGGGTCCACTACGTGGGAAGGGGCGACGAGGACACCGATGATGGACGCACAGACCTGGCGCGCGGGCTGTTGCTGTCTCCTTCTTCTGGCTCTCGCTGGGGCTACTCGGAGCGAGGGCGTGCAGAGCTGCGAAGAAGTTCGGAAACTTTTCCAGTGGCGCATGGTGGGAGCTGTCAAGGGGCTGCCGGATTCGCCGCGGGCAGGTGAGGCGCGGCGGGCGGGCGGGCGCAGGGCGCCGCGGGCCGGGGGCGTCCTGAGCGCCGACTCCGCGCTCCCCGGGCCCTCGGGGTGGCCGTTCGTGGGAAGATGACCTTTCAGGCGCTCCGGCCGGGCAAGGTGAACCCTGGGGAGGCCTCTGGGGAAGCTCGGTGTGAACATCCCGAGCGCAGCGCAGCTGCGGGGACTCCCTGACTCCGCCTGCGGCTAAGCTGGGCTCCGGGCGTTTGCCGCCCGCGCTGGCTCCCTTAGTCCCTGCTGATGCGTCGGAAGAGGCCGGCAAAGCTGACAGCTGGGGACAGCGCGGCCTGACTGCGTTTCTGTTGCGAGTGGGAATTTCACCACTGCCCCGCCGGGGGGCCTCGGTTTGCTGCTTTCTCGTGTCGTGGGCAGAGTTGGGTTGGTCGCTCCAAGTTTGATGCTAAAAATACAAACCTGTGTTCTTCTCTTTTGCTGAATGGGGCATTGACAAGGGCAACCGGTCTCCTTTTAAATTAGGACTCGGACCCGTACACCCACACTGGTGTGACCCTTAGCCGCCTCTCTGCGCCCTGGCACCAAGCCCTCCTTGCGGGAACCTGAACTACCCAGTGTGTCTCGCAGACGCCTGGGTAGTTTCAACCCCTGAAAGGTGTGACGGCAACAGGCGATCAAATTGAACGTATTGGGAAGCCGCTCACTAAACATGGATGAGACATATAACCGGAGATTGAAGGGGAAAGAATACGGTGAGCGTAGCCGGTGTAGATTCTGCTTCTTGTAAGCGCCGTTTGCCTGCACCTTTACCCCTTGCTCCCCACTCCTGCTGCGCAAATTTCCTTTTGCTGGCGGGATTTCTAGTTTTCATTTGGTCTGGAAGATTAGGTCTTAGTTGTCAAAGGCAGGTGTTTGAAGCTAAGATCTTACTGGAGTAATGCACCCTGACTATGAAGTCAACACACAGACGAATGCTGTGAGCTTATTGGTTGAATAAAGGATTTGTAGAGGATGCTTGGGTCCAAAATACGTCCTCTGCCTGAGTTTTTAGGGCGAAAAGACTTGCTCTTAGCACTATGGAGCTGTAGCTGTCTTGCTTGATTGTTTTGCTGGTTGTGACCCCTGTTCTCCAGTCATCTTGCAAGGAAAATCTGAGCATTTGGGAACATTGAATCCATTTTAGTTTACATGATCAGTCTTTAATATTTGAAATATTTCAAGTATTTGTTGGAATGCCTATTCAGTACTAGGTGCTTTTCCTATACTATTTGAAACAAAATAGTTGATATTCTCAGCTTAGGGCAATTCTCTCCTCAAACAACAGTACCCCCTTAAAACCTATTCTTGTTATCAGTGTGTTCTTTTTATTCAAAACAAAGCAAAACTAAACCTCACTTATCAGTAGCTCATACTACTAAGGTGGGAGTTGTGTTGGGGACAGGAACAGGGTGAAGGCACTGAGCTGCATTATTAGATTTTACCCCACAAATGGCATAATTTTGGCTGATATATTCAAGAAACGTTGACAGCTCCCCAGTAAGGCCTTGATTTCCCTGCCCTTCTCATAGCTCAGTATTTTTGGTACCTGCTGAATATAACACACTGATTAGGTGTTACATTTCTGGAACCTTGTGTGTGTTTTATCTCTTTTGAAGAGGAACATTCCAGAGTTTCAATCACTGGTATGCCTTTTTACCAGGATGTAAGGGGAAGCTCTGCCCTACAGAGAAGGAAATGGTGTCCTTATTTGCATTTGATACATATGACCCCTGAAAAAGAACCAGGATGGGAAGCACCTTCTTTTCTATAACATTCTGGATTTCTTCCCCATTGCTAGTACCTTCCTTTATCTGTGGCTTAAGGTGACGGAGGAATCCTAGCAGTACCCATGAAAGGGGCTGTGTGGGGTTGCACTCTTAGGGACATCAGGGGAGCTGGTGAAAAGAAGGGCCAAATTTTGTTGATATTTGCATTAAGAAAAAGTCACATGAAAGTATTATTCTGAATTAGAATGACCTTGATTAGAATCATTCTTGTCTCTGTATTGTTAGTGATTGCTTTATTTGAATAATTAAATGAAATACTAAACTATTTCTTTTGACATTGATGCTACTCTTCTTCCCACTATAACAATCTCATTCCCAAATTGAGTAAACCACACGTACGACGTGCTTCGTAACTGCTCTGCTTTGTTTTTGTATTTATATATGATCTATTACACTTAGCTTGATTGAGTATAGCAGTTGGGTATCTTATTTTCTAACATCATCCTCAATCTCGAGAGAGAACAATAGTTAATGTAAGTGGTCATTTCCACTTAAGAATACAAATATTGATATTCCTTGTAATAAATGTATTTATTTGGCACATGGGCTTTCACTGACTAAAACTAATACATTTAGGGGGCGCCTGGGTGGCTCAGTGAGTTAAGCGTCGGATTCTTGATTTGGGCTCAGGTCATGATCTCAGGGTCCTGAGATCTGAACTTGCTTAACATTCTCTCTCCCCCTCTCCCTTTGTCCCTCCTCCCCCTAGAAACAAAAAAAACCAAAAAAACAGAAAAACAAAAAACAAAACAAAACCAAAAAACCACACTAATACATTTAAATCTGATACTTGTTTCCTTGAAAGGTGTGTGTGTGTTTTGTGCTTCCTTCATTTACTGTCTATAAGTGGTTAATTCCTGAGAGGTCTAGTCAGAATCCCGTTTTTATAATATGGTAGAACAACTTTTTATAGTTTTCTTCCTACATTTGTGAATTTTACATCTTTTGAAAACTATGTTACCCAATTTGGAATTATTAAAATGGTGAGAACAGCCATTCAAGTCATTTCTCAAATTCTCCTCACCTTTGTTCTCTATCCTGCTCCAATTCTTTTAAGCCCTATTGAGCTCCTAAGGATGTTGGATGAGAAATGTAAAAAAGGAGAGAAGGTGTAAATGTGATTAGAATTACAGATTTCACTGCATTCTGATTTTATTTCCTAAGTAGTAGTCAAGGTGCCCTTTGCTCTTGTTTATTTTATTCAGAAAAAAAACTTAGTGAAAGTGTCTTTTAAAGGTCCTTTTATTTTTATTTTATTTATTGGGGAAGAGGGATAATGCCTTCCCATTGAAATTCTCTTCACACATGCATTGTTCACACTTGCATTCTTTCCCTTTTTCAAGAAGGTAATTCAGAAAGGAGAAGCTCATAAAAAAATCCAAGACTATATTCAGGTAATTTATATACCAACTGGTTTTAAAAAAGTGGATGTTCATTGGTACAAGGAGTAGTTTGTGAAAAGTAACTTTTTCTTGGTAGCTTTTGCCCATAAATGGGATAATAAAAATAAACTTGATGTGGCAAATTCTGATACTAAAGGACACTTTAATGCTGTATAGTTTTATTTTTTTAACTGCTTTCCTTATGATCTAGTCTTATAATTGCTTCAAGGACAGTGTTGATTCATTCTCACCCCCAACAGAAACAATCTACCTGGTAACCTTGGAATTTGGAATTACAGACATTGGGTTTCAAAACTTGGTTCTGCCCCTTGTAGCTGTGGGACCTTGGTTAATTGATTATCCTCTTCGAACCTCTGTTTTGTCATCTGTAAGATGGGAATATTGGTTCTTAAGCAGTTGTTGCATAGATGAAATGATGTGTGTGTGTGTGTGTGTGTGTGCAAAATAGCACAAATCCAGGCACATAGTAAGTGCTCACAAAATGCACTGTTGTCATTACAGTTTTTTATTTAGTGTCTTGATTTTTACCTAGACGTGGCCTTTAAGGGTGACATTTTCGTTTTAGATCTTTATACATCAGAAAATTTTTTTATAATAAATAGTTTTTTTTTTTTTTTGGTCACAAATGATTGTTTTCAAAATTGGGAAATAAGCATCTATTCAAAATGGAATTTATTAGGTTATAGTGAATCTTTTGTTTCTGTTCATGAGCTAGTAGAAGCTGTAAGAAAGAAACCTATCTAAATGGTTTTTATTAGGTTACGGTAAATATCTGTATGAATACATAGGTGTATTTCCGTGAACTGCTGGAAACTATGGAGCAGCCCTGTGTTGCTGCAGGCTGCGGAGCCCCTAGCAACCGCTTTTTCTACCCCCGGATTCAGGGCGGCCAAGTAGCGCCTCTAGCGTGGCTTAGGGATGTATACAGTTAACTGGCTGGTGGCCATAGGCTTTCATTGATAGTAATCTCAAGTCGGGACTCTTGTTTCTCATGCATTTAGCCCTTTCTGCTACTTGAGCAACGTAGTTGTGGTGATCGCATTTCCAAAGCCATAAAAGGGTCTGATGTTGGGGCAGATTATTAATATCAGGATGGCCCTGTGTTGAAGCCCATCCACCAAAACCAACCAGAAACAGTCCTATAATCAAATAAAGTGGGTTCGTGTTGCTTGCTGCGGCAAGGGCCATCACTCACCACAGGAGCTCTGAGGGTCCTGGTGAAGGGCCACCCGGGAGGGGCTTTTTCGAAGATTTGGGCTTGTGGTGGGTGGTATCACAAGGACTGTTGGATGAAGCAGGGCAGTTCAGGAATTGGGGGGTCTTTGTAACTTGCTTAGGCGCTAGGAGGGTTAAGGTGGGGATAGTGGTCGTTATGGAAGAAGCAGCAGGCCTCTTGTTGGTCAAAAGAGGGGGCTGTTGAGTCATTTTTGAGGTTGTAGAATATCCTGGTGGTTCTCCTGCCACACGCAGGTCTCTAGAGGCTTTGTCCCATCATTACTTTCTGAGTCTGTGCAAGTTGTCTGTGTTGACTTGTGAACATCAAGACTTAGTTCCAGTGTCAGGGAAGCATATCACTTTCTCCTCCGCGAAATCGAGTGTGTGTTGATGGCTGTGAGCATCAGGTGTGCCATTTTTACCCAGGCCTTCAGTGACCCTTACTGGTAGGACAGAGAGTATGATCTTCTACTTTAAGGCCACGGAGTATGACTGTCCGTCAGGGGCCTGAATTGCACTAATCACACCCCAGTTCCTCATACTCAGCTTACTAGCAAGTGCGTGTCC